TCAAATGAAGAGGTCCAGCACGCAGACCCATGTGAATGTGAGTCACAGCCTTGCTATTTCTCAGCCATGTAACTTTGGGCAAGTTATTCAGTCGTCATAAGCTTATTTCCCCATATTTAAAATGGGGTTAATAATACTATCCCAGAGGTGTTGCAAGAATTAAATGAACTAATTTATAGAAAGCCCTTGGTATGATGCTTCACTTGTAGAAATGAGCGATAAATGCTAGCTATTTCATTGTCATCATCATCATCTCCTACTCCGATTATGTTTTTAATTCATGCCTGTCCTGGGCTTGATCTTACAAGGATCTACTGACTAAGACAAGGATCCCTTAGGGGCTGTTTTGATCCCCTGCAAAGGGGAAGCAACATTGTCCTGTCACTTGGCCCAACATTGTCCCAGGGAGTGAGATCTTGGAACCCCCAATTTGATTCCTGTCAGAGGTCTGACAATCATAACGATCCTATCACAAAATGATCTCTCTCATCTTTTTAAAAAATTTTTTTATTTTACACGGCTACATTATGTTGTCAGAGAATAAAAATGTTAATGTCTACTGTCTGGTCACAGCTCTGGAAAGTTCATGAGACGCGCAACGCCACCACAGTTGGGAAAAGGGCAATAGCTTTCATATATTAACTGCCAGGATCCTTGGAATAGTTTCTGAAAAACTGTGTGTGAGCTTTTTCTGGAGCCTAACCATGGGCAATTCATTTTATTTTTGTTTAGAAGTGTGTTGTCTTAAAAATGTCTTTGGAAAAAGTATGTGCACATCTCATAATGAAACATGAAGTGAGTAGAACGTAAACTTTGGTCCAATGGGAAAGCATTACCTTTTGACAGCGTATACAGCTTCATTCATCATAGAAGGATGATGTGTGAGAGAATTTCATAGAGTACTATGTCTTCATAATTATGATTTCTGGTATTGTGGTTATTTTTATAACAACTATATATCCAAACCTCAATCTTGGAACATGGGAGATGAGCCAGGGAACACACTATGTGGGGTTTTAAAGTCAGGTCTCTGGGTCTGTTGGCTCTGCCTCCATCTGAGCTGTCCCCTATTCAGAGGTTTGCAAGTAAAGTTCTTGTTATATGACCCCAACCTTCTACGGCAACGATGTCCCATGATCTCTCCGTACTCCCTCATATCATCCAAAGGTCACCATAACATGCTGCACTGAGGACACTGGGGTCAATATGTGTCCACTACTTCCCTGCTTTGGGGAGGGCAACTGAGGGGAAGACTTTTCATTTTGTTTTTTAATTTCAGAGAATCCTAGTTATCCCATTGCCTTTATTAGAACTGCTTAAGGGATACACCGCCCACTTTCCACAGTTAATGTCAGAATGATGTAAGGAAGAAAATAAAGGTTAAAAATGAACATGTGTGTTGATATTGCAGATTTCTTTTTCTAAGATTCAAAAACCTTTTTGTAATGTATAGTAATTTTGTATAATATCAGATCTTTTAAAAGTTAAAATTTTTTTTTATTGTGGTAACAGTGGTTTATAACATTATATACATTTCTGGTGTACATCATTATATTTCGATTTCTGTGTAGATTACATCATATTCATCACCCAAAGACTAATTACAGTCCATCACCATACACATGTGCCCACTCACCCCTTTTGCCCTACTCCCGCCCCCCTTCCCCTCTGGTAACCACCAATCCAATCTGTTTCTATGTGATTGTTTCTCGTTGTTTTTATCTTTTATTTATGAGTAAGATCATACAGTATTTGACTTTCTCCCTCTGACTTATTTCACTCAGCATAATACCCTCAAGGTCTATCCATGTTCTCACAAATGGCCAGATTTCATCATTTCTTATGGCTGAGTAGTATTCCATTGTGTATATATACCACCTCTTCTTTATCCGTTTGTCCCTTGATGGGCACCCAGGTTGCTTCCAAGTTTTGGCTATTGTGAATATGCTGCAACGAGCTTAGGGTTGCATGTATTATAATATCAGGTTTTAAGTAAAATCCATGTCAGTCCCCTTACCTCACTCCTCAAACACACACACACATACACTCATACACACTCACACACACACATTATGTGCCAAAGAAGAAATCAGCCATTGTGCTTAGAAATGGTGATGGTTTGGTTAACTAAACACCCAAGTACACTCCAGATCTCAGCCAGTGTCAAAGCACAAATGTTGTGGAAAACCAACTCCAGAAGAGCATGGGAGATATTTCCTAACTTCACCAAAGATATTTTTTGTAATGGAAATCTATCATGATGACTCAAACAGTCTCCAAGTTGTGAATTGATTTTGTTCCAAAAGTTCACTTGTAAGCAGTTGTCATCGCTCAGAACTCATTTTTCCATATAAGCAATGTTGTGATGTTAGTTCCATTTCCAGGCTGGTTCCCAAAAGCTTATTTAACACCTGTGCGATTGAACAATGCTGCTCTAGACTCACAGATTATTCGTACCTGAAGGATCTTCAGAGATCAAGTTCAGTAAAAACGTTAAATCATACAAAGGATCGGAGAAGTTAAGTAACTTGTTTAGGGCTATCCAGCAAAGCCAGAATTGGATCCACATCTCCTGACTTTGAGGCGATGCCTTTTCTATTCTACTATAATTTATAAAACTGGACCACTGTTTACCATCTAAAAAGCTTACTTCTGAATAAGTGTGTATCACTATAGCACTTAGAAAATGCTTTCCTAGATATTAGGCTCACAAACTCTTCCCAACAATCTTATGGAGATGGTAGAGCAGATCCTGTCCCCATTGTAAGGGTACAGATGTGGAAGCCACAAGAAGTTAAATAAACTGTCCACAGCTACACAATTAGTAAGTGGAGGACTTGGGATTCAAACCCAGCTATTCCGAGTCTGAGGCCAGTGTTGGCTCCTCCACTGACCTTGTAGCAGGAATGCAGCCCTTAGGGCTTAGGGTAAGCTAGGGTGTCTCATGCAGGGACTGGTGGGCTGAGGCGGTCAGGACGGAGGCTGGGTCAGCCCTGGAGATGGGTGGGGCCTGCGGAGGGAGACTGCAGTGCCCACGGGGCTGCAGAGATGAGGCAGGGGGATGGGGAGGGGAGACCAAGGACTCTGCTGATAGATAGTACAGTTTAGGGTAGTTCCCAGCGCCATGGCGGGAGCTGGGCATTTGGTGTCCACAGTGTGGGAGGTTGAAATGATGGCAGAGTGGGTGAGTTGTGCTTGCTGTTGATGGGTTCAGGTCATTTGTCCTGAGGAACTGCCTACATGTAAAGGTGCCCTTTCCTTTAAAGATCTTCTGGCATATGGTTGCTGTTTTAATTATAATGTGTGGATTAGGCCATAGCGCCTTGATATGAGTAGGCACTGGTTAAAGATTTAACCTTTAAATCCTTATTGAATTAACCTAACTGAAATTAACCTAAAACTTCACTGTAAACTGATGAAATGGCTACAAAATACCTTTTTTTAAAAAAATGAATCTCCATTTGAAGAACAAGTGCTTAACTGGGCAATATAAGCTAGTGCTTTTAATGTCCCTCTACAGCTTTATGGATTTTAACTTCTGCCTTTTTAGAAAGAAATGTTTACCTACAAAAAGGAACCTACTTTATCTGGAGGACAAATTGATTACAGCTGTGGCTTTTTTTAAAAACGTTGTTTGCAAATTGTGATTGTGATTTTTTTAAAGTCCCTGAGAGGAAAAAAAAGCATTCAGAAGAGTGCACCTTTCTTTGACGAGTGTCACTGCTCCTTGACTGCCCACCGTCGCGCTGGTTAAAGGTGCCAGCAGGCGTGGGTGTGGGTGTGGGGGTATGTTCGTGAAGATTCCTCCTGCTTGTTTGGTGGTAAAGATGGAGTCGAATTCCAGTCTATGGCTTGGTGGACTAAGACGGGAAGAAATAAAATCTGCAACAGCAGCCTGCGGTCTGGAGGCTCGCTGCAGAACTGAAAATGGTTCCAGAACATCATGTTTCAGTGCCACGTGCCACGTTTCTAAGTATTATGTCATGTTGGAATTTAATTTGCATTCCTCAGTGCTTAATTTTCATCATGAGGGGTCTGTTTGCTCCTGATGCTTTCAATTTATTACCCTGCTATTGCAAAATATATCACTCAAAGTTTCTGAGCCTGTTAATGTCAGGAAAGGGAGGGAAAAACCCTCATGGCAAGACATGGAACTAATTTATGAAATCACTGGAAGGCTGCATCTGCCTTCTCCTTATGTCATTCATTTTACCCCACTATTTCTTCATGCCTCTCTTTTCTCTAATTTTTAATTTTTTCTTGTCCTATACTCCTTTTACTGTTTATGACTCTTATCTTTCTCATCTCCAGGTTTCACTTCATCTTCTGCCTCTTTTCCTGCCTCCTCCTTTCTTTGTGCAATCGTTTCTCTCCCACTCCTCTTCTGATTCTTTGAGTCTCAGGATTTTCTCCCATTGCTCTTCCAGAACTCTCTCGCGGTTACCTCATACCCACCTACTCTGTTTAGTTTACTTATTTTTCTTTCTTCGTCCATAATATTTCCTGGGTTTAATGCTCCTTATTTATTTATTTATTTTTTGGTGAGGAAGATTGTTGCTGAGATAACACCTGTGCCAGTCTTCCTCTATTTTGTATGTGGGATGCTGTGAGCTAACGTCTGTGCCAATCTTCCTCTGCTTTGTATGTGGGAGACCACCATAGCATGGCTTGATGAGCAGTGTGTAGGTCCACGCCTGGGATCTGAACCTGTGAACCCCAGGCCCCTGAAGAGGAGTGCACGAACTTAACTACTATGACACTGGGCTGGCTCCAATCCTCCTTATTTCTAATTATGTCTTGGACTGTAAGAAAGAGAGTCTGGTTCTATCCTAAGATGCTTTTTGGCAAGAGGGGATAATTTTCACAATCTCCTGGTCTAGGGTTATTGAACCATGTCAAAGACATTTGAAAAAAGTTAGTATATAAATTCAAAATATTTGCCACATTTGTATTATTATTCCCGCTAATAATAACTCTATTTAATGATGAGTTACACCTACCTTGCAGGTCTTTCCACTTGGTTATACTAGTTCAAGCAAATGTAATAGCTTCCATTTTGGAGAGGCAGTGCAAAAACTGTGGGAAAAAACATGGACTTGTGAGACAAACAGATGTGAATTTGAATGTGGGCTCTGCCCTTAATTAGCACTGTAATATGGGCAAATTATTGCCACCAGTTATTGATTTATTTTTTTATTATGAAATATCTCAAGTTCACAAAGAAGTGTATACAATAACATCTGTTTATCCACCATTTAACTTTGTCAGGTCTTATCATTTTTCCATATCAATTTCAGATCTCTTTTTTTGGGTTAAGAAATACAGTGTTACAGCAATTACTTAATTGCTCTGATTTGGAGTTTCTTCTACTCTGAAATGGGTCTAATCCTATTTGTATCCCAGAGTCATGAGAATTAAACAGCATGACATATCTAAAGTGTCTGCCAAATGGTAAGTGCTAGAAAACATTAGCATTCTTATGTAGACAGTCATGAATAAATCACGTTAGTGGCCTTTTAAAAACCCCATATGAATTTGTAAAAAAGATAACAATATAATTTTGCTGACTATAGATAGTCCCTAACCTTGATTTTATTATTATAAAAATAAAGGTGATGGGCTGGCCCTGTGGCATAGTGGTTAAGTTTGGTGTGCTCCGCTTCAGAGGCCCAGGTTCACAGGTTCAGATGCTGGGCGCGGACCTACACCACTCATCAGACATGCTGTGGCAGCAACCCACATATAAAGTGGAGGAAGATTGGCACAGATATTAGCTCAGGGCTAATCTTCCTCAGAAAAAAAAAAAAAAAAAAAGTGATTTTTCTCTACCGCTGACTTAGAAAAATAACCCCAAATTTAGTATTTCCTGGAACTAAGTTTTTTAAATGTTAAATTTTCACAAGCATTTGAATTTTGAAGCACCATGACATGGTCCAGGATCTTCATTAAATAGTTCTTCATTAAATACATTTCGAAAAGAATATTTTATAGTCACTTGGCTGCTTTGTAAAAAGTGAACAAGTTCCTTTTCTTGGCACATGAGGGTTGAAATGCTTGCTAAGTGAGTTTTCCAGATGTTGGGATGGGAAGTGTTTCCTGCGGTAGCTGCTTCTGCCACAGCAGCAGCTGCCCTGACATAAGCTGTTGTCCAGGCAAATGAGGAAAGTGTGTCCCTGGTTGGGAAAGGGTGGCACATCCAGGAGGCGTGATTGCCAGGGAAGCAAGGAGGATCACTGCCTAGAAAATGCCAAGGCCATCTGGACGGAGTAAGCAGCAAAGCTTGTCATTTGTTAGTATTTATTGAGTGTCTACTGAATGCCAGTGCTATTCCATGCACGTGGGATGCAGGAGTAAACCAACAGTCAAAAATCCTTCTGTCATGGGGCTTACATTTGTGGGGGGGTGTTGAAGATGAAGAGATAATCAATAAAAGAAGTAAATTTATAGCATGTTAGAGGCAGTAAGTGCTATGGAGGGGAAAAAAAAAGAGGGGAAGAGGTTCCGACGTGCTGCGTGGGCTCATGGTTTACAATGGCTGTGGGTATTTTAATTTGCCTGCTCATTTATTTATTCAACAACATTTGTTTGTTTGTTTGCTGGGAAAGATTCTCCCTGAGCTAACATCTGTTGCCATTGCCAATCTTCCTCTCTCTCTTTTTTTCCCTCCCCAAAGCCCCAGTACCTAGTTGTATATTCTAGTTGTAAGTCCTTCTGGTTCTTCTATGTGAGCTGCCACCGCAGCATGGCTGCTGACAGATGAGTGGTGTGGTTCTGCACCCGGGAACTGAACCCGGGCTGCCGAAGTGCAGCGTGCCAAACTTTAACCACTAGGCCATCAGGGCTGGCTCCAGCAAACATTTGTTGAACAACCATGTTATCTGGGCAGTGTAGTAAGACATGGTCCAGGATCTGAAGTTACTTAGGGTCTAGTAGGGCAGCATGACTCTGGCAGGGTCTGATCGAGGTGTCCATGGGAAGATGGGAGAGGGGCATTTCAACTCTCTAGGGTCAGGGAAGGGTTTCTTAGAAGAGGACACAGTGTTGAGTGAGAATAAAGAGTTGGAATTGACAGGGCCTGACCGAAAGTTAGGGATGACTGAGGCGAGGCGTCTAGGACGAGGCCTGGTTCCTGCACGGCCAGTTGGGCGGTGGCAGTTCTGCTGCGCAGAGTACGGAATGGAGGAGGAGCACAGTGGTTTGGGCATGGTGATGAGCTCTGTTTGATGCCTGTGGGAATCTGGGGCAGTGGGATAGATGAGCTCACAGCAGAGAGGTCTGGCCTAGAGAAGCTGCATGGTGCAATGGCATTCCTGGGCGTGTGGTCCGGAATGCATCATGCTCACAGGCGGCTCCCTTCTGTGAGCAGAATGACTGAGAAGCAGAAGGCAGAAAGGGCTCTCACAGACTGCCTGGTGCTCTGTTTTACGTGGGACAGCCACAGATCTGTCTGTCCCTGCCACTTATTCCCTTCCTGTGGGCCCACTACACCCCAGGCTTTAGGGTTAATCTTTGGGTGGGATTAAGGAGCCCTTCTTTAAGAGCTCAGGCAGATCAGCCTTGCTGGCCATCATACTCAGAACTCCAGCACTGACCATCTGCCTAGGTCCCAGACCACCACACAATTTAATAACCGGGCCTTCATTTTCCTGGGTTCTAAATCCTGTCCTGATACCCTGCTCTAAACTGTTACTCCCTTAGGACTGGTTCCCTGCTCTGCCCTGATAGCTCAGTACTACATATTCATGCGCACTTGCTGAGGACCAGGCACCCAGGCACCATGCCAGGTGCTAGATTCAAAAATGAATTAAACATGTTCCCTGCCCTTATGGAGCATATTAGTTTAGTAGGAGAGCTGGTCATATAAGCATGCAATGATGGTTCTCTGTGATTTGATGCAATAATAGCAGAATGTTTACTGTCCAGAGGAAGTACAGTTCTGCCCAGGAACAGGGGTACCAAAACCCAATCCTGGCCGCAAAGCCACCTGCTACCTGCTGTAAGATTTCCCTGTTGGTGGCTGCTGGCCTGCCCCCCATTACTCTCCACTCTGCTTTCATGGGACTGACCCATCAGTGGCTTTAAGGATTCTTTTTGGAGTCTAGATACTGTGTTTTGCCTGATGCCTCCACTGCCTTTCTTTGCTAAATACTCCAGCTGTGAAGCCTGCCTCCCTCTCCTCTCTGTCCTCTGCTATCCCACTTTGACCTTATCTACTATAGATGCCTAGTTCCTGTTTTTAACATGGAAAATTAGCACCCATATAAGAATCTCAAATCTGTATCAGAATTTGAATCCAGTTTCCTGGAGTCCCAATGCAGTGCTCCTTCCAGTAAAGCTCCTGGCTCCTGTATATGAAAGGAATGGTGTGGAATCAGCATTTTCGATAAGCACAGTATGGTGGTTTTAAAACATATTCTGCAAATTCTTTGATATTCTTCCCATCAAAAGGTGGAGTCTAATTCCCCCTGTTTGAATGTGGGCTGCCCTTTGACATTTGATTTTAGAGAATAGAATGTGACCGAATGACACTGTGTGACTTAAAAGGCTAGGTTAGAAGAGGTGATGCAGCTTCTGGCTGGCTCGCTCTGGGGATGTTAGCATGTGGGACCCAGCCACCATGTTGTGAGGAAGTCCAAGCCACAAGGAGAGGCTCGGCGTTGCAGCTGTAGCCCAGCTAAGGTCCCAGCCGACAGCCAACTTCATCCACCAGGCTTGTGAGTCATGAGCCTTCAGCTGCTGGCAGCTCAGCCTTTGCACCATGCAGAATGGCTCTGAGTGAGGCAGAGATGAGCTGTTCCTGCTGAGTTCTGCCCAAACCGAATTTAAGACACTAACTTTTGGAGTAGTTTTCCACGTAGCAATAGATTGTCAGAACACATAAGAAACGAAATTACTGATTGTGTTAAAAGCTGTTTGTAAGATATTTGAAACCTTGATTTTGCCTAAGGAAGGCACAGCTGTTCCTTCTTGCACTGGAATTGGTTGACTGTCTCTGAATCAGGCCCAGTGACAACATTCTTTTGAGGAACTAAATCCTTCTCAGCTTTTGTACAGGACTACTTGCTTATTTGCAACTAGTTATGCCTCTCTGTAAAGGTGATATAATGTCAGTAAATTTGAGCAGAAGGAGGTCAATCTCTAGTTTCTTATGTATTATTATTATTTTTTTAAAAAACTGTTTTATTAAGGTATAATTGACATACAATAAAATGCATGTGTTTAGAGTATGTGCCGATAGTATTGATACAGTTTGACCTATGTACACACTGGTGAAACCATCACCACAATCAAGATAACGCACATATCCATCACCCACAAAAGTTTCCTTGTGCCCCTTTGTAATCTCTCCCTCCTGACCCCCCACCACGTCCCCCCATCCCACCCAAGGGAACCACATTGATCTGCTTTCTGTCACTATAGATTAGTTTCCATTTTCTAGGGTTTCATATAAATGCAATCACACAGTAGGTATTCTTTTTTTTCATTCAGCATAGTTATTTTAAGATTCATCCTTGTTGAAGTAATCCATCATTACTTCATTCCTTTTTATTGCTCAAGAATATTCCAGTGAATGGATATATCATAGTTTATCAATTTGTTCTTTATGGATCGTGCTTTTGGTGTCGTATCTAAAAAATCTTTGCCTAACCCAAGGTCATAAAGATTTTCATCTATGCTTTGTTCTAAAAGTTTTATAATTTTAGATTTTATATTTAGGTCTATAATACATTTTAAATTAATCTTTGTATATGGTATGAAGTATCGATCTAAGTTCCCTTTCTTTTTGCATATTCTTGCACCATTTGTTGAAAAGATTATCTTTTCTCCACTGAATTCTCTTTGCTTTCTCGTTGAAAATGAATTGTCCAGATATGTGTGGGTCTATTTACAACTCTTTAGTCAGTTCTATTGATGCATTTGTCTAGCTTCACGACAATGCGACACCTCTTGATTACTGTAGCTTTATAACACATCTTGAAGCCAGGTAGTGTTAGTCCTTTAACTTTGTTCTTCTTTAAAAATTTTTTTTTTCTTTTGTTATTGTAGGTCCTTTGCAGTGCCATCTGAATTTTAGA